GCCATGAATGGTGCAGGTGTGATAGGGAATGTTGGGTTGCAGGTTAGTTCATCACACCTGTATCTATTCCATCCTCTTCACACTGTTCTCCTGCTCCACTGTAGGGTCCTTCCCATGGGATATAAGCATTCATAAATGCCTCAAATGCGTTTTCTGTTGGACTGCAGTTCTTCAAGAACTGCTCCAGTGTGGGGTACTGTTCATGGGGTACAGTCCTGCAGGAACAGACTGATTCAGTGTGGGTCCCCCAGAGATCCTGCCAGGCGTCTGCGCCGGCTTGGAATCTCCACAAACTGCTGCTTCTTTCAGGGCTTATTTGCTTGGTCACAGCATAGCATCCTGCATGGGATACAGTGTAGCCATCTGCTCCAACATGGTTCTCTCCACCAGCTGCAGGACAGTGTTCATTCCAGTGCCTGGAGCACCTTTTCCTGTTCCTTCACTGTGATGTCTGCAGGGCAGATCCACTCAATTTTTTCCTCCTTGCTCATCTCTTGCAATCAGTGCACACTGAGGTTTTGGGTTTTTATACTCTTTTTTAAATGTTATTGTGTAGATGCCACCAGCTTTGCTAGCAGTTTCAGCTTTAGGCAGCCCCTGGCCTCCTGTCACAGAACTCGTGAGTCTCTAAAAAGTTGAATTCAAGGGAACCCTGCATATTTATTCTCTGCTTCTGTAGGAAAATATGAATATGGAGTCTGGAGCAGTTATTTCATTAGATGAAGCAAAACACTTTATGTCAAATACAAGTTTACAAGTCCTAAAAATAAAAAGGGGCTAGGACTGCTTGTAGTGATTTGTATTTGGTGTTTTAAATGGAAAAGAAGTAACTCATGTCATGATTATCTGTTCAAAGATATTAAGTATTGTAGCATAGTCTGAATCAAGAGACAAATTACAGAGCTGTTCTTAAGAACTTACTGGGTTTTTTTCCCAAAGGTGTAGATGAAGTAGGAGGATTGACCGTCACTGGGTAAACTTTTTGTCCCAAAACTAGAGACTTGAGTTTCTCCTGAGCTATGTTAGTAGCATTAGTAAGGTTGTACTCTGATCTTGTAACTTGGATGTTTGTTTAGTCCAAGGGTCACAAGTAGGTTAGCATCAAGAGCTGTCTGTGAGAAGCTGAGTTAGTGAGACTGCCTTGGTAAACTGGCAGGTTTTGACAGGGCAGGATAAGAATCACACAATCATAGAATATCTTGTGTGGGACAGAACCCACAAGGGTCATCATGTCCAACACCTGGCCCTGCACAGGACAGCCCCAAGAATTACACCATGTGCCTTAGAGCATTGTCCAAATGGACAGAGGTTAATGAGAGATCTCCCACTCACCCCTTTTTTTCTGGTCTGCCCTCTTTGCCTCAGGATGCCTTTGCTAGCACAACAGTTATAGTCAGTTTGAGGGTTGAGATATTTGCATAAGATAGGCTCAAAGTTAACAATACAATATTTAGGACAAAAATGTGTTAATGAAGAATAGCTATTCACTATTTAAGGTTTTTTTTCTCTTTCTCTTACAGTTTGAGGGTGGCTCTGGTTATGGTAAGTGTTTATATAGAACCGTTACGTGTAGTTCATTACATAGTTACTAAAGGGCTTGATGCATACATTTAAATCAGATTATTCTTATGCAGGGGGGCGCGGTTCATATGGAGATCTTGGTGGACCCATCATCACAACACAAGTAACGATTCCCAAAGATGTAAGTAAATTTGACTTGCTTTCAACTCATGCTTTTTCTTAAAAAAGAAAAGTCACAGTTATTTCTCAGACTATTGAAGTGAATCAGAAGTACTTAGAGTGCTTGATAAGTACTTCTAATACAAAACAAGTGTTTCCAAATCACCAAGAGTATTCTTGGATCATTTGGTTTGTATCTTCAGAGACTCAGTAAACAATTTTACTTAGAGTTAATACTCAGTAATAGAGATGGACTGTGTAACGTGTTTTTTACAAATGAGCAGCTGGTTCTCCCGGTTTTATCTTATTTGTGTTTATATGATTAATACTGCAGGGGATGTTTTTAGGCTGTAAAGAAGTAAGCTTCCATTCGAACTCTTAAAACTGAATTTATAGAAACTATTTAAATGCTGCTGTGATTTTCCAACTTGTTTTAGAAAGAAAGTTGTATTGGGAAATGAATTTTTTGCTTTCTTCCCTAGTTGGCAGGATCTATTATTGGAAAGGGAGGCCAGAGAATCAAACAAATTCGTCATGAGTCAGGAGCTTCGATCAAAATTGATGAACCATTAGAAGGCTCAGAAGATCGGATAATAACTATCACAGGAACACAGGACCAGATACAAAATGCACAATATTTGCTGCAGAACAGGCAAGTTAAAGTTTAATATTCTCTCTACTGTCAATTTTAAATTGACATGTACATTATAAAACTGCTCTTCTCTATGAATCAATTTTTTAAGAAGGCAAGTTTTAAAGTAACTATTTGAAGCTAACTTCTCCAGTGCTAGTTCTGCCTTGATTTTCTTCTGTTCTCCATTCTAATTAAAATGAAGACACCCGCAAAACTAATCTTGCTGGAAGACACCTTAACCAAGCAGTCCTCTCCTTTCTCTGGTGAAAACTGCTGCAAAAAAAGTACTTGTAATAAATTATATAGAGCCTGTAGAAAATATAGAAGATTTCAGTGGATGTTGGCCTAGTTCTGTGTGGAAGACTAGTGATTTTGTTGTTTTTAGATAACTAAATTGACAACAAATCACAGTCTGCCATATGGCACAGACCATGCCTCTACAGGACAAGTTGAAATCGATTTGGTGCTGTTATGCAGCATTTCACACCTTGCTGACATTACTTGACCTTTTCTACCAAATATTAACAGCTTCAGATAACATTTGCTGTATTAACTTCTGGCTGTCCTAGTAGATTTTAATGTTTTAACTGGAATGTTTGGCTTTAGAGTATTAATATTTTAATGTGCCATAAATATACTAACACAATTACTAGCCATTGATATTTTAGAATTATTTAATTATTTACTTTTAAATGTGTTAGGAATTTGTAATTTAATCTGCTCTAAAAATGTCATTATGAATATTGATGCAAGATGTATGGTCCATCATTCTAATACATGCTTTTTTCTTTTTCTTTTATAGTGTGAAGCAGTATGCAGATGTTGAAGGATTCTAATGCAAGATTATTTTTTCTTTTTTATAGTGTGAAGCAGTATTCTGGAAAGTTTTTCTAAGACTAGTGAAGAACTGAAGGAGTCCTGCACCCCTATTTTTTTTTTTTAATCTGCTTCTGTTTAAAAAGCCAACATTCCTCTGCTTCATAGGTGTTCTGCATTTGAGGTGTAGTGGAATCTTTGCTGTCCACCAGATGTAATGTCTTAGTTCCTTACAAATACATGGGGGGAGGGAGCACGAGACTAACATTGAAATTTTGAAGCAGCAGAGAGAGTGAATTCTATTTTTGTTCATCGTTGGTGGTAAATTGTAATGTTTTTCTGTAATTGTTGTGTACACCTTGCTTTTATGTACACTGTGTCTTATTTTAAAGGGGGATGAATACTGGTAGGCCACATGTCCCTGGTATCTGTCGAGAACAGTGTGCAGAATGTAATGCTTTTTTGTAAGAAACATTTTAGGATTTTTAAATAAATTTAGTGAACCTATTCTTGGTGGTCATTTTTCTTCAGGTCTACATAAGATAATAACTAAAATGAATACACCTAGTTTGGGGGTTTTTCCCCATGTGAATTAAAGTTGCTGTTAAGCTTGCTCTTCGGCTTCCTTGATATAGATGGAGTTATGTGGGGTTTTTTGACAAATTAAAGAAATCGTGTGAAAACAATGACTGCTTTGCTGTTTGGGGAAAAAAAAGTGAAAATATTCCCACAAATGTTGTGTAAAACTTGACATTTTTGCAAGTGTTTGGCCCTCTTTGCAGTACATATATATATTGGTGACAGTATATAAATAAAATATTTAAAAACTTTGTGATGTCACTGAGTAAACAGTGGTAAAGTACACCTGGTTATAGACAGCTTGCTTAATGCAGATAACACTGTTAGAAATGACAGTTGCTCTACTATTTCTGAATAAATTATAGCTGTTTCCTGAGCTTTTTTTTGTATGAGGTAGAAATTGCAAATTGGCAAATTGACAGTATCTAACTCTGTAACTTGTAATTGTATGCAAAACTTAAACTTGTTTGGTTTCCCGGATGTATGTTGAATTCCATAAGAATTATTTGTGAGAAATTTAAAAAAAAATATAAAGCCTCTAGATATCTCATGTAATACCTTGGCATTTGTATTTATAGTTAAAAGTTTTAATTTCACTTCCTGAATAAAAACAAATTAAAAAATGTAGAAGTGTGTTGCACATATGGATATGATGGGTCCAGACTAAGCCTGGGTTCTTTTGTTGTGTTTTGTTGGTTGGGAATTTTTTTTCCACCCATGGTTTGTTGGAGCATTGGTTGAGCTTTTAGTGCAGCTACTCATTAAATGGAGTGGTAAAGGCAAGGAGCTAAGACTTTGCGCGCAAGGCTGGCCTACTTGGTGGAGCTGTAACAAACCTGTAGAAAGTAAAAAATGCCATCACCTTGTGTTTTGTCAGCAGGAAGGCAGCTGGTACCTGGCTGGTTAACCAACGAACCTTAATTAGAGGGAGAAGTCTACAGTCGAGGCAAAGGTTTTGGGCGAAATGCAAATGAGCTGGAACAGTTGCTAAATTTTGAGTGCCTCCAACTTGCATATGTACGGACGAGTGGGGTTGTTGAGGGGTCGTTGGTTTGGTGCTGTACTGTTTTAATTCGGGAGGAAAGCTCAGCAAGTATCAACACTCAAATTTTTGTTGGAAGCAGAGCCTGTATCCTACTGCAGGCTGGTAGGGTTGCGGGGGCCGATCCTGAGGCTCCGCAAGTGCCGGCCCCGGCACTCCTGCAGCTCCGGCCTCTGTGCGCGCCCCACCGCGGCGGGAGCCGCCCAGGCCCGCCCCGTCCGCGCCTGCGCACGGCCGTGGCCCCGCGGGGTGGGGAGTGGAGCGGGGCCGGGAGCTGGGTAAACCCGAGCAGCTTTGGCGGGTCTGGGTTGGGTAGCGTGCGCGTGTCCTGCCTAGCATGGAGGGTTTCCCGTCCCCCCTGGAGTCTGCCAAGTTCATCGCCGACCACAGCAAAGATGTCTCCGTGGACGAGGAGGGGGTGCGGCGGGTGGCGGAGAACCTGTTTGACAAAGCCTCGGCCGTGGAGTTCGGGCTGCCGGGGTGGAAGAGTCTCCACGAGCTGAACCCCCGGGCCGCCGACAAGGAGGCGGTGGACTGGGTGTTCTTGGTAGACACTCTCAACTTCTCCTTCTGGTCCGAGCAAGAGGAGCAGAAGTACCTGGTGAAGTACAGGGATAAAATCTACAGCGGCTACTGGTCCCTCTGCGCCGCCGTCAACAGGGCCCTGGACGAGGGTCAGTGAGTGCCGGGGGAGCGGGGCCGGGCCGGGGGCACCGGGGCGAGGGCGATAGAAGCCGAGCGTCGAGGGTAAAACTTAAGGAGGCGCTTCGGAAGCGGGACCCGCTGTTGTGAAGTGCTGCTCACTGGTTTCGATTGCGCTGTGTGTGCGGGCCGTCCCGTAGAGCTCCGTGGAGGTAACTGCAAACGCTTCTGAAGCTAATAGTGAAGCTACCTAACTCGTGGCTCTGGGTTATCTCTTCCATTCGAAAGACTTTTAAAGATTGGCAGTAGTCAGCTGTGGGTGACTTCACGTATGTTCTTAGGATAAATTGTATGTTTCCATGACAAATAAAAAAATGAGGCATAAACTGAGAATCATCTGGACTAATTGATACCAGAGCAGCTCCAGTAAGTCTGAAAACCCATATGTCTCTAAAACCAGTATTTTAACGTTTTGTGTTTAAAACCAGTACTTTAGCACTCAGTCTGGTTGCTGTCCTCAGAAAAGAAAAAAAAAATCTGTTTGTAGGTATAAATGAAAGTTTTAATTAATTTTCTGCATGGTTGGTTGTAAATTGAGGGGGCATTAGCATTAAGACACTTTTTGTAAATGCACAACGCGATTAGGATCCAGGCGAAAACAGGCCTATGCCGACTGCTCTAGCTATGTTACTGACTATATTTGCCAGTGTGCTATGTAAACACTCTACTCAAAATACAAAGACTAAGCAGCTGGGAAAAATTATGTACAAAAAGTAAGAAAGGGTCCATGGTTGCCTGCTGGAAATGGTTCTCTTTAGAAGCAAGCATTGTGGCACTCACAAATTTCGTTTTGAGCAGCTCTGTGAGTGCGGTTATCACTGAAAACTAAGGTGATTGTAAGAGTTGATAAGACTTTTTAGATCTTCCTGTACAAGCGCTTTCATCTGTAGCAGACCACTGTGCTAGGTCCCGGGATATGTTACGATAGCCTAAACATCTCATTTTAACTTTTCTGAAGGAATACCTATCACCAGTGCATCATATTTTGCCACCATGACGCTCGAACAACTGAGGCATGTATTTCGCTCTGACACAGAAGTGCCTATACCTTTGATTGAAGAAAGACATCGGGTGCTGAACGAAAGTGGAATAGTTCTGTTAGAAAAGTTTGGAGGATCTTTCCTTACCTGTGTTAAAATGAGTGAGAAGAGTGCTCAGAAACTACTACATCTTGTACTGGAAAATTTTCCTTCTTACAGAGATGAAGCTGTATTTGAGGTAAGCTAGTTCTAAAGCTCTGAAAACAAAATCATGCAATTTAGTAGCACTAAAAGAGTCTTGGATGGTGTGCAACTAGACAGGACAGGAGTCACTTTTTTTCCCACCAGAGGACTGCCTTTTTTTTTCATATGCTCTCTGTCTTCATTACTTTGTTGTCATTTATTTTTATATACTCCAGGTTCCCAATTAGATCACGCCTCCTGTGTACTCCTTAGAAGTGCATGGTATTTGAGATAATTCCTGCCTGAAAAATCACAGTATTGTTTCCTTTCTTTTCCTTCCCTTGAATTGCTGCCAACCCTCCTCCCCTCATCTTCTTTCTTCTTTTACCTTGAAGTTTTCTGCAGCTAATGAAGGAAATGAAACTGGTAGAATTAATGTACAGCTACTGGGACTCCATCCTCTAACTGTTGTTGATTCAACAGGCCTTACACAAATGACTACAGGTTAGAAGTAACTCATACTTTTATCCATGTTGACAGTACACTGAAGACTTTTGGAGCTGTTTTCCTGAAAGAAACTGACAGGAAGTAAACAGAGTCCATCTGGTATTTTCTGTCTCCCAGTTTCTCCTATACAGATCTCCATTTAGCATCTGTGACATACGTGGGTGCTCCTGTGCTCAGTTGCATGTGCATCTATATTCAGCTGTTATATTATTAAGTCAAAAGACTTTATTTTAGTAACAGTGCAGCCTATGCTAATAGTCTGTGCAGTCGTTTTAAGGTAGCTCCTTGGAATACCAGTCACTGGAGCTTGGAACTTGTTGCATTTACTATCCTTCAGTAGGTGGCATGATTTTATTTTCCTTTGTCTCCTGCTATGAAGTAAGATATGTTTACATGAAAAATCAGAGGTTCTTTCTAATTAATCTTTGAAGCTATTGGTTTAGTTTATTTGGGGTTTTTTTAACATATAAAGTAATATATTGACAATTTTTATTATCAAAAAGGAAATATTTTACACGTAAAGTGATAGAGTATTTTCTTATCTTTATAGTGACTGTATTCATTGACGTTATGTCTTTCATGAGATGATGATGAATGCTTTATAAAACAAGCCTCCCTAAAAGCAGCAGCAGACTATGTAATGAAAAGGTGTTCCAAAAATGACCCCAGACCGTAAGCACTGACATAGTAATAAAGCCTGTTGCATGAATATAGAAGCTATTCTTCTGCTTTCAGTAAGCAAGATCTGTATTTTGAAGGTGGTGACATGGGTCACATTTTCAACGTCATTTCTATGGCAGCAGGTTGAGGTCTCACAAGTAAGACTTTGTGTTCAGTAAAGGGTTAGGAGGGAACTGGAAAGATGCTGAGATATCCAAGAGCAAACCAGTGCTTTTCAGTAACTCTACATAGTAGAAATATACATGATTATAAAATAAATTATACATTAGAATCATACTTTCACAGACTGCTACAACTCTCCTAAGTTCTGACCTTCTAGGAGAACTTCTAAAATAAACACAATTATTAGGCTATATGTTTTTCCAAACACATACACAAAATATTTTCCAAAATTATGTGTCTAATTATAGAAATTGCCCGTGTTTGTTTCTTCTGAAAAAGGAAATGCAAACTAAAACCAAAATCTCCAAAATATATTTTTCTCTTTGGGTGGATAGTTCATATTTAGATGCTGTGCTGCATTTGATTCCCAACAGAAGTTTAGAATTCTAGACTACTTTATACTCACATTATCAGGGGTTTTGTGTTCTGACAAATACATAGTGGAGTCTTTTTTGATCTTCCAGTCATTGACATTTCATGTATTTATCTTTTATTTACCATCACCTGGGACCGGGGTTGTAAAATTCTCATGATCTTCGCGTTCTTTACTGTTTTTCTTTACTAGCTGCACTATTACATTTTGCTCTTTGCCAACACAGTACTCCTCCTTTCCTTTAATATCAGTAGACCATAATTAGATGTATCCCTTGATACTAGCACATTGTATCAGAGAGAAGACGTAAGTATCCCTGTATGTGGTAGCTTTTCCTGGGAAAGGTGTTGCGAAAAAAAAAAAAGAATCATAGTTGTATTGCCATCTTGTAAAAAGTTCAGTTTTTTGGACAAATTGTACTCTCTTTCACAGGCAGAATCATAGACTGGGTAAAGTTGGAAGGGACTGCAGTGGGTCATCTGGTCCAAGCTTCCTGCTCAAGCAGGGCCATCCTAAAGCACATGGCACAGGATTGCATCCAGATGGTTCCTCAATATCCCCAGTGAGGGAGATTCCACAACCTCTCTCTGCAATCTGTTCAGTGCTCAGTCACCTGCACAATAAAGAAGTTCTTCCTCTTTGAGATGTGGTATCATCCACCTAATGCTTTCCTTGCTGTCTTTGGAAAATAATAGTGGGAAAATTTACTAGAAATATTTGTATACTGTGGTGGCAGTAAGGTGGCAGAATAAGACTAGAAATAAGTTGAATCCCCACCTATGTGTAATGCAGGTTAACCATTCCAGTTACATATTGTTTAGCACATGTTGTCAAAAGTCAAAAATCTCATCTAGCTTTAAAGGGAGGGAAAAAATGCAACCCACTAATACTTTTTTCCTTAAAAATGCAGATGCAGTCACACATTGCATTCATCATAGTGTGAAAACCCCAAAAGCTTAGAGCTCATAGCATATCATTAGTTTTTACCCTTGTCAGTAGTCACAAAAGCCTGTAAATCATTACCAGGATTAGAACAAACAAAAAAGTTTAGGACAAAAATAGAACCATGCACAGTACCTAGGAAAATATTGTATGTGTAAGTACATCTTCCACTGGAATTAATTTTCCTCTCTCCTCTGCACAACACAGAGGAGCAGTCAATAGTGTTCCTAGAATTTTATTTCCTTAACATTACAGATAAATTGATTAATAAAATGTTGTAATTGTCTAATCCAACACATGCCTGTTATGCTCCTCTTGTCAAATTAAAAATGCTAGAGTGTCTGAAAATTAATGTTTGCTGGAGTTTCAACTCCAGTGTTTGCCAAGTGGATGTATACCAGCATGAATATGTTCTGAGATCCAAGCAGATACTAAACAATTTTTATTCCACTGCAGTGAATTCTATTATGTTATTCTCTTATTTCAGTTTATTTATGAGCATTCCATGTAATCCTTGTTTGTAGTTTGGTATTTTTTATATTTTAAGGTGTTTCAGAGTGTTGCACTTTTATTTTGTTCTAGTTAACTAATATGCTTAACCATATGATAACTATAACTACATGTTATTCACTACATTTATTGATGTTTCAGGCACTTAAATAATCCATAAATTTCTTCCTTCAGAAAAAGAAGGTGTCTTTCTACAAACGAGCACAAATACTTGTGGCTGATACATGGAGTGTATTAGAAGGCAAAGGAGATGGCTTTTTTGATGATATTTCTAGTCTAACGATATTTGCAGACTACAGAATTCCTCAAGTTCTTGTTCACTTAAAAGCAATGAAGTATTCTGAAGAATTAATGAAGAAACTACGTGAAGGTTTGTTCTGCCCTTACTAATATTAACTAATCTTACCTCTTGTCATGGTAGACTAAAACTAGTTCTAAAATGTAATGTTATGTCCGTGTAAGGGTTACGTATATTTTTTTCCTCCAAGGAAAAAAATATGTAGTGATGAGGTAACAGGAAGGAACTTTTTCCCTAACAGTGATCTTGAATGAGGTTTTAAGGTTTCTTTTCTATAAGACTTATCTGTTCTGTGGATTAAACATTGATAAGAGAGGGATTAAAGAAACTCTAAGCTAGTTGATTTCCAAGTTTTTGAAGGGCTGCTGCTACCAAAACCATCTTTCAGCATAAGAATGGTAGTGATTTTTGAGGTTTACATAAAAGAAGCAATGATTTCTTCATTAATTCAAAGGCGAATGTAAAAGCCTGGGAATTCCTCTTTATTTGTACTGAACTTCTGGTTAACAAGCAAAGCAATATTATAAGGGTCCATTAAAAAAAATACTGCTTTAAATGAACTTAATTGCATATAACTAGAGTCTCATTTTTTAAGCATGGTTCCAACTTCCAGTACTTATTAAGCGTGAACTTTAGTGAATAAAAAAAATAAGCCAATCCCTTTTCCACTTTAAAATGACTGTATTTAGAGATAGGACTGCTGTTATGCAATTGCAGAATTACTCAGCAAGATAAACACATGAATGCAACCATCCATGAATCTTAATAGAATGGCCATATGTATGTCTATGTGTGTATTTGTATATTAAGTAGACTAGATGGACATTTTATCTTTCTATGAATCCTAATAAGAACATTCCCATTCAGGCCATTCCAATGGTTCCCTTTACATTAGGGTTTTGGGGGGGTTTATTTGTTTTTAATTTTAAAATCTTAGAGTTACCCTGGCAGAAAATAAACTATAAAATATAGTAACTATATACTAAAAAGTATACATAATAAAAGACTATCCTTTTTGTCTCCATAAGCAAAGAAATGGTCATATGATGTGCAGTAGAGCCTGTTCTGTTACTTTAATTGAATGGGAGGTAAACTTCTAAGTGCATATGGTAAAATTAAAGTAATCATTAGAAAATTATTGTTAACAGTTATAGTGTAAGTCATGACAACTGGATTCCAGAACAGAATAAATATAAAGGGGAAAATTTAGCAAATTCGGGCAGTCCTTGTCTTTCTGTCTCCTGCATGTAAATGGATTGCTGTCTCTTGTGTCTACAGGAACAATTTTCCAATCTGGAGACAAAGAGGAAGTAGAGATCCGTGGCTGTTCTATTTGGTGTTGTGCGTTGATTTGCAAGCACCTGCAGGAGCTCTATCAGAAGAAGGGTCAGGACATGCGTGAAAAGATCAATGCAGTTTTACTCGATTATTATCTTTGGGACTATGCCAGGGATCACAGGGAAGACATGAAAGATATTCCGTTTCACCGAGTTCGGTGTATATATTACTAAATTCAGTCTGATAGCTGTTGTATTGTTGCATTATCTTTTGAACTGCAGCTTTGCTTTTCATACAGTGGTTTGTCATGCACTAATTTGGAGCTGGTTAAATCAAATGTTTGTTTTCTGGTGATGTATTAACAACTTGCTTTTTTTTCCCCTTCCTTTCTTTTTTTTTCCCTTTCCTCTTAATCTTTTGCTTGTCCTGACTGGAATTAACAGTGTAAACTTTGCCAGACAGCCCATGTTAATGCAGGGTTTATTAGTCCTCCTTCAAGCTCTGTATCTGTGTATGTACCTGCCCATGTGTGCATATCTCACGGTCCACCTCGCCTCCCCATGGCTGGCGCCTAATGCTGGTCCATCCCCTCTCACACCGGTGCGGAGGTAGCAGGTGCTCGGCACACGTTCAGAGGTGAGAGCGGAACTGGTCCATTCATCCAGTAAACACTGCGGTGACACGTGGCACAGTGTGTGTCTGTGTTTTCACTGGTGTGGGCAGCCCCTGGGAAAATAGAGGTTGGGGGGCTCACTCCCTGCAGGAAGGGAAGGAGGGAAAGAATCAGAAAATCATTTAGGTTGGAAAAGACCTCTGAGATCATCAACCCCAACCTATGACCAAACACCACTTTGTCAACAAGAACATGGCACTAAGTGCCATGACATGACCAGTCTTTCCTTAAACACCTCCACAGACGGTGACTCCACCACTTCCCTGGGCAGCCCACTCCAATGCTGAATCACCTTTTCTGTGAAGTTCCTCCTGATGTTCAATCTAAACCTCCCCTGGTGCAGCTTAAGACTGTGTCCTCTTGTCCTACTGCTAGTTGCCTGGGAGAAGAGGCCGAAACCTACCTTGCTACAATCTCCTTCCAGGTAGTTGTAGAGAGTGATGAGGTCACCCCTGAGCCTCCTCCAGGGTAAACACCCTCGGCTCCCTCCGCCGCTCCCGTAGACCTTGTGCTCCAGACCCTTCACCAGCTTGTTGCCCGTCTCTGGACACGCTCCAGCACATTAAAGTCCTTACCGAACTAAGGGGCCCCGAAGTGGGCAAGGAGGGAGGGAGAAGAGCACTGCCACTCGCGCCCATGGCGGCCCATCCCTCTCCGCGCTCCTCCGGCCGCTGGGGGCGGTGCTGGCGCGGGCGGTGCCGACATGGCGGCCGTTGCCTAGCGAGGGGCCGTAAACAGCGCGACGGGACAGGCCCACCGCTGGTGCCTCTGGCCCGGCCGCCGCCACCGCCCTCCCTCCTCCTGCCCTCCTTCGGCACGGGTCCGGCGGCTCGGCCAGACGCGGCGGCAGCCGGGGGACGGCGGGCTCCGCGGCCCTTGGCGGCTCCCGAGACCCAGGCGTGATCCCGTTCTCGGCTCCTTCTCAGGTTTGGAGAAGCGGCAAAGACGGAAAATGTTCTGGGCCGCCCTCACTGCCCCGGCAGTATGTTTGCTCCTGCCTTATGGCAGCCAAGGGCAAACGATGCATGCACACCGAAGTATCTCTGTAACTTCGACGTATTGGGAATATTTCATATTCCCACATTCTTTTATAAAATAGAATCCTATGAAATAGGGTTTCCCTCCCACATATGTGCTTAAAGATGGAGATCAAAATCAGAGGAATGCTTTACATGTAGTAACTAGATACATTTAAAATCACACTTCCTTCCTAGGTAACGCAACTTCTTTTTCCGTGCTTGTCGAGTTACAAGTGTTTGGTGCTTCATAAGTGGAAGAGGGTTTTAAAACTCAGGTGTATATACATACAACTTTTGGAGTAAAAGGTTCTGTTCAACTGATTTACGTTGCCTATGCAATATGAATGCAGGAAAAGGAAAATGAGAGGATTCATTGTAAGTGTTTGCTTTATCAACAGTGTCTATTAACAAGCTCTTAAAATATTATTGCTTCATATGGCTGTGTTATGTTCAAATAGAAAATCAGGCAACTCTCAGACTTAAGTCTGCTAGCTTGGAAATTAATAGAGGCAAAATTTATTTATTAATTGATTGAACACTTATTAATATAGCTGCTTTTATATCAGGTATTTTTCAAGATTGTAATGGTGCTTACTTATACTTTAGGAAATATCAACTTTCTATTTCAGGAAATTAATTCTTATTTATTATATAATGTGGAAAACTTTTTTCTTAGTTGCAGACAACTGCAAATAATGTGAACAAAGCAGTAGTGACAGATTTCTTGCTGACTATCTGAACACTGAATGGGAAGCACAGGGCTGGAGCCTGGCATGGAGGAGATCCCAGTTAAAGTTGCGGTCCGAGTCAGACCTCTGCTTTCCAAAGAAATACTTCATAACCACCAAGTGTGTGTCAGATTAGTCCCAAATGCAAAACAAATTATCATTGGAAAGGACCATGTCTTCACTTTTGATTTTGTATTTGGCAAAAGCTCAACCCAAGAAGAAATTTATACTGTTTGCATTAAGCCTCTTCTAGTGTCTCTGACTGAGGGATACAATGCTACAGTGTTTGCATATGGACAGACTGGTTCTGGGAAGACTTACACCATTGGCGGTGACCACATTGGTAGGTTCTTTTTTTAAACTGGTCAACAGTGTGTTTGTGCAAGTTAAATGTTTATTACCCAGTAGATGATGTGGTGGAATTTTAAGGGTTAATGAAAAAAGCTGTAGTAAGAAAAAAAGGTTTCCAAAGTTTATGTGATTAATTAAACTGTTCTAAAGCCTTATCCATAAATTAGGCTATACCAAAAATATCTAAGAAGAAAAGAATTATAAATTGCTCTTTCACACTTCACATTTTAAAACGCAACTTAAACTAGAATTTGTTTCTGAAATGCAGTGTTTTTCAAGTTTTTTGCTGTGTTTATTTTACCTTGAAAATTCCTGCATTCGGTAGTTAATTGTTTGCTTGCTCACTCTGTGTTGGCTTTTTTTGTTTGGGTTTTTTTGAGAGACATTTCTGTGACATCAAAGAAATTTATTTAATTGATTTAATTCTTCCAAATGGATATAAATAGATTATTCTAAATCTCTTGGTAGGTATTAAAATTTTCCTTTTATTTAAAGTCATAGAACCACAGAATCATTTAGGTTGGAAAAAATCCATAAGACCATAAAGTCCAATCATTAACCGATCATTGCTAAGTCCACAATTAAGCCTGTTCCAATGCTTGATCACCCCCTCCATGAAGAAATATTTCCTAATATCCAATCTAAACCTCCCCTGGTGCACCTTGAGGCTATTTCCTCTTGTCCTGTCACTTGTTACCCCAGAGAAGAGGCTAACCTCCACCTGGCTACATCCTCCTTACAGGTGGTTTGTAGAGAGCAATAAGGTTGCCCCTGAGCCTCTTTTTCTCCCAGCTAAAAAGCCCCAGCTCCCTCAACCACTCCTCACAGGACTTGTGCTCCAGACTCTTCACCAGCCTCTCTGCCTTTCTCTGGGCACGCTCCAGCACCTCAACGTCTTTCTTGAAGTGAGGGCCCCAGAACTGAACACAGGATTTGCTTTGTGGCCTCACCAGTGCCAAGTACAGAGGGAGGATCCCTGCCCTGGTCCTGCTGGCCACGCTATTGCTGATACAGGCCAGGGTGCCATTGGCCTTCTTGGCCACCTGGGCACTGCTGGCTCATGTTCAGCTGCTGTCAACCAGCACCCCCAGGTACTTTTCTGCCAGGCAGCTTTCCAGCTGTTCTTCCTCCAGCTTGTAGAACTGAATGGTGATGTTGTGACTCGAGGGCTGGACCCAGCACTTGGCCTTGTTGAACCTCATACCATTGTCCTCTTTATTCTGCTTACTGCTGTGACTTCACTTATATTCCCTCCACTAGCAGTTATTTAATGTTCCTCTAAGTAGCATTGCTAGCCAAATTGTTTAGGTAGTGAGTGCCACGATCTAAAGCTGTTCATAGCCCAGGAATGACAACCTTTTAGTTTTATAAAGATATTTACTAAATTCATAGTTAGATGTGACCAACCCTTTAGATTTTTGGTGAAAAAGATTCTGGATATCCTCTCATAGACAAACAGTTTCCATATTCTTGAATAAAGAACACAAATTAATAATGGAAGTGTTGCCCTATGCTGAATATTTAAAAAACAAAAGTAGAGTTTGGTGTTAGTGTTCCATGTCTACTTGGAAAAAATAGGAAATTACTGTAAGTGTTGGTCATAAATTTTGTCTCACCAAGGTGCTGATGATTTTTTTTAAATTTAAGTAGCATTTATAGTTTCTCAAACCCTCAAGATGTCATTGCCAACCCTAATGAGTAAGGATAAAGAAGAAATCTGTACTCTAAGGAGTGTAGGTTTAAAACAGACTCCATATTTTTCATAACTTTCATAACTATAACATGTAATTTAGAACTTTGAATCCTATTAATGGATGCAAACAAATATTCTGCCCCACAGAAAAAAAAATATTTACAAAAATCCTTGTGAACACTGTGCTCTTCAGATTCCTTAGAATCATAGAATCATAAAATCAGTCGGTTTGGAAAAGATCTCTGAGATCATCAAGTCCAACCCTTGATCCAACACTGCTGTGGTTACTAGACCATGGCACCAAGTGTCACATCCAGTCTCATCTTAAAAACCTCCAGGGACAGTGAATCTACCACCTCCCTAGGCAGCCCATTCCAATGTCTGATTACTCTCTCTGTAAAAAATTTCTTCCTAATATCCAACCTAAACCTCCCCTGGCACAGCATAAGACCATGCTCTCTTGTCCTACTACTGGTTGCTGGGGAGAAGAGACTGACGCCCACCTGGCTACAACCTCCTTTCAGGGAGTTGTAGAGAGTGATGAGGTCTCCCCTGAGCCTCCTCTTCTCCAGGCTGAACAACCCCAGCTCCCTCAGCCTCTCCTCATAGGACTTGTGCTCGAGAATGTTGAGTACCAAATCTCACAGACTTCTCTCAATTTTCAGTCTTTTTAATTTATCTGACAGAATAACTGCAAGCCTCTGTGACATTTGTGCTTGTATTTTAGCATCAGTTGCAGTGAATGAAAAAGGCATAATCCCACGAGCTATTCAGGAATTATTTCAGCATATTTCTGAAAACCGTAATATTAACTTCTGTGTGAAAGTATCTTATATAGAGGTTTACAAGGAAGAACTTCGAGATTTGTTGGAGCTGGAAACCTCTGTGAAAGAATTACATATCCGAGAAGATGAGAAGGGAAATACAGGTAGGATTTCAGCTCTAAAATTTGATGTGTTGGGTTTCAGTTGTGTGTCCAAGTTATTCTTGCCTTCTCTTGAAAATGCTCATTCATTACTAATGCTAGGGGAAAAATAGTTCAAGTTTCAGAATATAAATTCAGTTTAACTTATTTGAAGCAGTATTGGGGTTAGATGCCTGTGAGTAATACAGATGTTCCAAATGGCAAATGATAAATATGCGACTGTTGCTACTGCAAATTCTGTCTAGAAATAGTGTGTAATTATTCACTGGAATAAGTATTTTAAGATTAAACCATTGCTTCTCCCTTCAAAGTTATAACTGTTAAGCCACTTTTATTGTAAATATCTGCCCTCCTTTCACTATAAAATGAGTGGAAGAGACCTCTTTATTGAGAGGAGTAGATTTTTTTTTTGTAGTAGCAGATATTTTTGGAGTCTTTGAGATTAACACCCTCTAAGTATCTTGTTCACCACATGAAAATGCTAGAAGAATCCACATCAGAGATATTTTATTCTCAAACTTAGGTTTGGCTATTGTTTGCTTATATTCTAATTGTTGTGTTGTGCTGGTTTAAAGGTAAACCAGCAGGGGAAATGAACCCAACTCAAAAGAGAGATTATAAATCAGAATAACAATTTAATAAAATAATACAATAAGTACGATTATACAGACAAACAGTTGGTTTTAACCCACAAAACCCAAATGTATAACCCAGCACCCTGGGGCATGAACAGAGTGGTGTTTGTTGGGCCCTGAGTCCAAAGTAAAAGGAGAGGGGAAAACCTGTTGGTGAGAGTGCTATTGCAGTCTGGTCATTGCAGTCCAGTCAAGAGTGGTGGTTGCAGTCTTCCTCTGGATCCCACGAGTGGTTAAAAAAGTCCCAAGACCCCAAGATTATATATCCTCGAGTTCAGGCAGGAATGCCCAGTACCTCCCTCAAGGCAGGGAATTCCACAATGGGTGTGAGGACAGGAGCATCCTCTTATCTCGCAGGCCTCTTAACACCCAGTTTATAGCCTGAGGAGTCAGGCCTGCTCTGGGCAGATGGTGTAAATGGTCTATTGATAACAGTTTCTGGGAAATGGCATGGAAGGCCATGGAATACACAGTTTTGGGTTACACCTATACAGTGATGAACTGGTCCCAGCTGTTCTGACTAGGACATTATCCACCCCTTATTCTATGCCATCCATGTCATGCCCAAATTAACACCCTTTAAAAACTACATCCCTTTAAAAACTATATCCATACATATATATACAATGAAACATTACAGACCATTCTCACTCAAAATTAGGTCCCCTTGTGGTACACAACGTGTCTCCCCATCTTTTTGCATTGCCCACCAGGTGAAACCAGGCCCTTGAGCAAAAACAATCCCTCAGATGGTTTTGCCTTTCCTTGAGGTGGGATAATCCAAACAGTCTTCCCTAACATACCTCTCATATGCACCACGGGGACTTTATCTCCATCTACAGTATGCAAAGGTTCTGATTGGGCAGGGCCAGCTCGATTAATGGAGCCTCGCGTGTTGACCAACCAGGTGGCCTTTGCTAAATGCAGCTCCCAGTGTTTGAAAGTCCCCCCACCTAGTGCCTTCAGGGTGGTTTTCAGCAGTCCGTTGCACTGCTCAACTTTTCCAGCAGCTGGTGTATGGTAGGGGATATGATACACCCACTCAATGCCGTGCTCTCTGGCCCAGGTGTCTACGAGGCCATTCTTGAAATGGGTCCCATTATCAGACTCAATTCTCTCCGGGTGCCATGTCGCCACAGGACTTGTTTTTCAAGGCCCAGGGTGGTATTCCGAGCAGTGGCATGAGGCACGGGGTACGTCTCCAGCCATCCAGTACTTCTTTCTACCATGGTCAGCAGGTAGCGCTTGCCTTGGCGGGTTTTGGGGAGCGTGATGTAGTCAACTTGCCAGGCTTCCCCATACCTGTACTTTGACCACCGTCCACCATACCATAGAGGCTTCACCCGCTTGGCCTGCTTGATGGCAGCACATGTCTCACAGTCATGGATGACCTGTGAGACAGTGCCCATGGTTAGGTCCACCCCTCGGTCATGAGCCCATCTGTGTGTTGCATCTCTCCCCTGGTGACCGGAGGCATCATGGGCCCATCGAGCCAGAAATAATTCTCCTTTATGCTGCCAATCCGGATCTGCCTGAGAGACTTTAATCCTGGCAGCTCGGTCCACCTGCTCGTTGTTACGATGCTCCTCATTAGCCCGTTTCTTGCGTACGTGAGCGTCTACGTGACCGACCTTCACACTCAGCTTCTCTACCCGGCCAGCGATGTCCTGCCACATCTCCACCGCCCAGATGGGTTTCCCTTTGTGCTGCCAGCTGGCCTTCCTCCATCGTTCTAGCCATCCCCACAGAGCATTGGCCACCATCCGTGGGTCAGTGTAGAGATAGAGTCTTGGCCACTTCTCTCATTCAGTGATATCCAAAGCCAACTGAACAGCTTTAAGCTCTGCAACCTGACTTGACCCACCTTGTCCTTCGGTTGCTTATGCAACTCACCATGTGGGACTCCACACGGCTGCCTTCCATTTTCGGTTTGTCCCTAGAATGCGGCAGGAGCCATCCGTGAAGAGCGCATATCACTTTTCATCTTCTGGTAGCTGGTCATATGGTGGGGCCTCCTCAGCCCCTGTCACCTGCTCCTCTTCTTCTTCAGAGGATAGTCCGAAACTCTCACCTTCGGACCAATTGGTGATAATTTCCAGAATCCCAGGGCGATTAGGATTCCCTATCCGGGTTCGCTGTGTGATCAGAGCAATCCACTTACTCCATGTGGCATCGGTGGTGTGTAGCAGGAACTCTCCCCTTGAACATCCAGCCCAGCACTGGTAGTCGGGGTGCCAGGAGGAGCTGCACTTCGGTGCCGATCACTTCTGAGGCAGCTCGAACTCCCTCATAAGCAGCCAGGATCTCTTTTTTAGTTGGTGTATAGCTGGCTTCAGATCCTTTGTATCCCCGACTCCAGAATCCCAGCAGTCGTCCTCGGGTCTCCCCAGGCACTTTCTGCCAGAGGCTCCAGGAAGGGCCATTCTCCCCGGCTGCAATGTAGAGCACGTTCTTCACGTCCTGTCCTGTCCTTACTGGCCCAAAGGCTACTGCATGGGCAATCTCCTGTTTAATCTGTTCGAAGGCTTGTTGTTGTTCGGGGCCCCACTGGAAATCATTTTTCTTCCGTGTCACAAGGTAGAGAGGGCTTACAATCTGACTGTACTTGGGGATATGCATCCTCCAAAAGCCCATGGCGCCTGGGAAAGCCTGTGTTTCCTTCTTGCTGGTTGGTAGGGACATGGCTGCTATTTTTTAATCACCTCCATTGGAATCTGGCGGCGTGGAAGGCTATGGAATACACAGTTTTGAGTTACACCCATACAATGATGAACTGGTCCCAGCTGTTCTAACTAGGACATGTGTTTACTATTGTTATACTTGTTTTACTGAGCTGTCATGGTTTTCTTGTCTGTAGCTGGAAGAAGGCACTAATTTAGCACAAATGTTGAAGACAATATAATTGCTTCAAAATGATCCCACAATACATTTTAAACTATTTCTCTTCTTCAGTACAGTTTGAGTCAGCTTCAGTAGACTGTGCTAGGACATTTTCCATCATTAATTTAAAGAAAAATATGACAAAAAATATGCTTGGAAGGAGTATTTGGTAGAAGTACACTTCTACTTTATTAGGTTATTAACAGATACCTATCCTAAAGACCCAACTATCCAAGCTATTTAGGATAAAAATTATGTTCTTACCACAGGCCAGGAATCATTTTTACTAAAAATCTCATTGATTTTAGTATTTTTTTCTTTTTTAAACTTGCAAAATATCCTTTGAACTGACTTTGCTCATACTTTTTCCAGCTAGCACTAGACTGTGAATTGTGTAAGGCAATGTGGAATGTGTAAATGAGTTGTGTCTTGTGTCTAAGATACTGTTTCAAATGCTATGACTATTAAATATCTGCAGGTTTCAGACGTGTTGTACCTCATGCTTTTCACATATTGATGTCTTCTTTTTCTGTAGCTATATGCTATGGCCACCTAATAATGCAGGCTTGTATGTTTCACTAATATTTATTTATAGTTATTACTGTAAACTTTTGCTAAAGAGTTTAGAATTAATTGGATTATTCTTACTTTCACCTGTTTCGGTGTTTGAAGTGATTGTGGGCGCTAAAGAATTCCAAGTAGAATGTGCAGATGAAGTGATAAGCCTGCTGGAAAGTGGCAATGCAGCTCGTCACACAGGCACAACGCAGATGAATGAGCACTCTAGTCGATCTCATGCCATTTTTACCATCAGTATTTGTCAGAAGCAATCTGCAGAGTCTCAAAAAAATACTGATGCTGCACAGGATTTGATCGCTTCGAAGTTTCATTTTGTGGATTTGGCAGGATCAGAGAGGGTAGCAAAAACTGGAAATACTGGTGAACGCTTCAAAGAATCAATTCAGATCAACAGTGGTCTCTTAGCATTGGGAAATGTCATCAGTGCCCTTGGAGACCCAAAAAGGAAAAGTATACATATTCCATACAGGGATGCTAAAATCACTCGTATTCTGAAGGACTCCCTTGGAGGAAATGCCAAGACTGTTATGATAACATGTATAAGTCCATCCTCACTGGACTTTGATGAATCTTTAAATTCTCTCAAATATGCCAACAGAGCCAAAAACATTAGAAATAAACCGGTAGTAAATTACAACCCCGAAAAAGGCCGCATTGATGAAATGGAACTTGAAATCAGATTACTTCGGGATGCTTTGCAGAACCAGCAGATCAGTAATCAGTATTTACATGACTTAAATGAAGAAAAAGCTCGTATCAGTTCACTTGAGGAGCAGCTCACCCGTCTTCAGGTTCAGTATTTCAGTTATAGAAATTGTGTAGATGAAGCCTTCCCCTTTCTACTTGATTTGAATGATGATGTTAGCTTAAGAAGAAGTCAGCGGGACAGGTTGCAGAGCTGGATCACTATGGTACAGAAAGTAAGGAAGGAAGCTCTCACCATCCAGGAAACTGACACAGGGACTGAGATCAGCCCAGAGCCACACCATGTCACGATTCTTCAGCTAAAGAAGGAACTAAAGAAATGCCAGGTATTTAATTACAAGTTCATTATTTAAATAACTAAGTGAAAAAGCAATCTGCCAAAACTTGAATTCAATTTTGAAATATGTACAAAGATGTCACCTGACAATTTGACAATTTAAATTTAATTTGCAAGTTTGTATCATTTTGTTTGGCTAATCTCTGGGACATAGGTTTATTTTAATGGATCATTGAATACACAGTCATCTTAATCATGACAGAGGTAAGTAAAGGTTATATTTTGGCTAATCAGTTCCAAGATGACTCGGGCTGAGCTGTTTTATCTGCTAGATTTTTATTTTTAGCTATGCTAGTCTGGCTGGGATGAAGTTAATTTTTTGTAGTAGCTCTTAGGGTGCCATGTTTTAGATTTGTAACCAATAAAATTCTGATAACACACTAATGTTTTAGGTCTTGCTAAACAGTGTTTGCACAGCAACAGGCATTCTCTGTTTCTGCCTCTGCCCCCCTAGTGAACAGACTGGGGAATTCACAAATTATGTGGAAACACACATACAACCAAGCAGATGACCCAAACTGCCTAAAGAGATATTTCATGCCATACAACATCATGCTGAGCAATAAAAAGGGAGAGTAGAATATTTAGGGAGATTAGCTGTATTTTACCTGGGAACTGGTTGAGCATCAGTCAGCCTTGCAAGGTGGTGGCCTTTGCATAATTTGTTTTCTTTCACTTTCTTTCTCTCCTCCACTTCACCTTCACTTACTGAACAGTTTCTATCTTGACCCACGAATTTTCTTGCTTTCACTCTTCCTTTGCTCTTCCTCCATCCTATTGGGGGTGGGGAGGGAGGTGAGAGAGCAGCTGTGTGTGCTTAGCTACTTATTGAGGTTAACCTACAACAGTCTTTTTTGGCACCCAAACTGTGGCTAAAGGCCTTCAAGGTAATAACAGATTGCTCCCTCTGACAGTTTGGGATTTCATGCCTTAACAGGCTCATTAACCCATCAAACTAATACATCATTTGAAGGAGGGGAGGTGAAACACAGTAATTTGTAAAGCTGTGTTAGACCTGGCCCATGCCTTTAAAGTCACTGTCCAGTGCTCTTAGAAATGCCAGAGGATTCCTGATCTAAAAGCCCACAAACAGGCATTGAGGAGGTCTCTTGCTTTGAGGCCACACGAACAAGACGCTAAAGCAGAGACTGAACCCTCAACTCTAATAGTTGCTCCTGTAGTCAAGAAGAAACAGTAGAGGCAGAGGTCAACTTAGTAAGAGAAGAAGCAGCTCTTGCCCAGAGGAGGAGAGAGGAAGAATCAGAAAAGGGCAGCCTGTTCTGCAGCAGGACAGGAAAGCAAAGACACAGAAATAATAAGAGCTGGAAGCTACCCGGTCCCTATCCATGACCAAGCTTCAAGATGTGTGTAAAGATTTTATCTGACAGCAAGAGGAGCTAATTGCTACCTGTTTGCTCCAGAGCTGGAGTAGTGGGTTTAACAGTCTGGAACTAGAAGATAGGGAAACAGCAACTGGTATCCATTGCTGGGGACTGTGGGATTGACAGAGGGATCAGAAGAGGGTCAGCCACCTGCAGCCTCCAGTGGTGACTCTTATTGAGCTTTTCCTAACCTGTATTTCTTCAGCAATATTCTCACAAAAAATTCCTGTATTTCATTTTCATTACCATGCCTTTAACTAACTGAGTTTCTAAACTATTTATAGATTTCTTCGTCTAATCACTTTTTTAACACTTGCTTTTGTGTTAAATATCAACACTTGCTTTTTATGGCATCATACTTCTTTATGGTTTTCTAGCTGAGGTGAGAATTTCAAAATAAGATATGTGAGTCTTAACATGCAGATATCCTATAAGGGTCCCGTCTTGCTGGTAGTTCTAATTAGCTGTTTCTCAGACAGCAGAAAATATTGCAGATATTGTATGATAAACAGTCTCAAATTAATTTTATAACTTAAAACAACTGTACACTAGTTGGAAACTGAGTGAAGTTCTGACATAAGATGAATGCTAGAAAAAGTAATTTGAGTCTGTCGTGTAGTGGAAGGAAACAGTGCTCCAAGAAGTTAGAATTTTTTAACATCAACCCGTTTTTAGTTTGCACATCAAACTGTCATGTCTGTAGACTGTTACCAGGCAATTGCATAAACAAATGTTGTCTTTTCTTTGTTCTCAAGCAATCTAAGTCACAACTTTTTTCTTCTTCATTGTCTTCTGTGGCTTATTTTAACCCCCTGTTTCCTTGTTCAAAACAGTGTAAGAACTTAGCTTAAACTTAAATTTCCTCAGGAGGAGATGGTTAAGGAAAGGCTAAAATAAATGAGTAAGTACAGACTGTAGAACAGCGTTTGCATATGCCATATTTAGTAGCTAATAGTGGACCCGTTCTTGTGTGCACATACCCATTTCTTTTCTAACAGCTATGATTGCCTGTATAATGCTGTCTTACACAAAATTAAAATACTGGCATTGTGAATTAGCCATAGGTAACAGCTAAACTAATTTGTGCCTCCGCCAGCAGGACTTGTGGAGGAAAAAATAGGAAGAACAGGAATGAGAAAGTTTGTGGGTTGACATATTTTGTATTTGGCTTCTGCAGGCTTCCTGGAAGAGTAACAACATTTGGAAGTCTCCTTCAATCAGTACTGGATTATTCATTCACACAAGCACCTGAAGAAGCATTCTTATAGTTTCTTTAAGCTGTTATCTGAGTTTCAGAATGAGAACAGCTGTTCTTATTTTTTTCATTTGACGGGTGTATTAATCACAAGATGCTGAGATCTTGTGGCTGCATGTAACAGCATGCTAAGGAGAATAATTGAATTCAGATATATACTCCAGTAAAGGAGCTTTGGTTATGAGTAAATTATTCCCTTTGGAAGAATGAAACTTGTCAGAACAAAATCAATAGATGAAATGGAAGTGAAAAAATAACTGGTAGAAAGTGCAGATAACCACTTAGATAATTTGCCATACATACTTCAAAACTTTGCAGTTCTGATGATGTCTTTTAACAACAAATGAGGTTTTGGTTTGTTTTATTTTCCAGCTTTTCCACTTTCCTCCCTTTTCCCCAGCTGAACTTTTCTTGTATTATCTAGCAGGCACTAGTTATGGATGAAGAAGTATTCAGCCAGAAGGATCATGAAGTCCAGATACTACAGAATCAGATAAAGACATTACTACAGGAAAATGAAGAACAACTGGCATCTTTAAAGGAGGCTCAAGAAACACATAGATTACAGGTATTTTTCCACTGATACACATGTATCTGTATTGAATTCCACCGTGTTAATGCATTCAACAGGTCCCTGTATTTTTTTTTATTTAACTACCAGTCAATATTAGAAACATTTTGATTGAATTAGAGCTGTATCACTTAATGAGTTGGGTTCATCTAGTTGGTGAACCACAATAATATGATTTTGAAGTCTGTACGCAAGCCTAGCGGTGCCACAACCTTCTCTGTATAACCTGAGATGAATCATTCACTCTCTCCATACTTTCCAGTTATGCTTCAGGATTTGTATTATTGTTAAGTAGTTTCAGGACAAGTAATGAATTAGAATTTGAAAGACTTTGAAAGATTCTTTAGACTCTAAAAATTACTGTAAATAATTGAAAGGTTGCATAGAAACTGATTTTGTTATAGCTTTATTAAGAATTAGAGTATTGTTCCCTTTTGAGTTTGTAAGACACAATTCCATCCTAACTTTCTGATCATTTACTAATAGAGAAAACTGAGTGACATAATGGAAAGAGACATAGTGAGAAAGAGGCTGCTTGCCTCTTTCCTTCTCTAGATCTTGTACTTGCTAATGAAATTAGGATGGCTATCATGTGCATAACATTTTAAGATCAAGAAGACTGCAGATAGAATAGTTAACATTCTCCTGTTGCCTTTTGTCACATGGATGACAGATAAATTATTATATGACATTTTTAAAAGAGAAAAGCATAAACATGGATAGCTAGTGCTCTTCTCCTTATTATACTTTTTCTCCTTTTTCCTCTTCTTTACTGATAGCTTCGGCATAGTCAATGACTGAAAGGTAAGTATACTAGTCATCATCTTTTTCTTTCCTCTGTCACTGTCTTTCTTTTCTGTCACCTCTTTCTAGATTTTTATTTTTAACCTGTACATCATAGTGTCAACTTACACTGTGATAATGCTTATATAAATTCTGGCGGATACAAGGTAGGAGGTAATGAACAGAATATGTCACAGTGTAGGTAAAAGATCATGACTCTTTCAGTATTGGAGACAGCAGAGAAGCTTGGGAGCTTTCAGGCACCATTTTGGTATTTATTTCACTAAACTGCCATTTCTATGTAAAAAGAGGTAGAATAATGAAAAGCAAGTACTTTTGTCAAATATTTTAAGTTTTATTCACAGGAATATGTAATTTAATGATACATGATAGAATAAAAACTTTAAAAGTAACAAGTATTAGGTATTAAATGTTTATAAAGATATGTATTTATGGAATAGGTGTTACACTGTGGGGTTGTATGTACAATAGTATCAGGGACAAAAATTCTTAAAAGGGTTAAATAATAGCTTCTAGTCAATCAGTAAGCTATTGCTGCTTCCAAAATGATAATAAATGTGATATTCATACATATATTCTATTTCCTATAACATAGGAATAATATGTATTGTATTCCAAAACAATGTCAATACTTAAGGCATTGTATGTTTGTGTTTGGAAGGAACTTTCAATCTAAGAGAACAACATAAGAATGAATAGAAACTTTTACTCAAAGTAGGAGAATGCAAAATGTATCATGAGCTGTTCTTCAGCTTTTCTGTTGTTGCAAGGCCAGATTTTAACCATACTTTGAAAAGAATCAAAAGCAAGAGAGTGAATTGAAAATTTATATAATCTTGGCCTTGTGGATAAATCAGTACATAAGTACATAAGTACTTTTGAACAATGTACAGAGAATGCTGTAGAAGAAGCAGATAAGATCTCCAAACTATCATTACCAACAAAAGCTGAGGCTGGGTGGAATAAAAAAGCAGCAAGTGATCCTAGGATCATGTACATGTTTACGTTTATTTATACAAATAATCTTTCAAGTGGAAGTGCTCCAAGAGGAAGAGGAAGTCCATATACATGTTTAATTCATAAGATTCAGACCATGTGTTTCATTTGAACATTTTTGTTGAATTCCCATTTTATTTCTCCATAAACACCCATATAAAGGAATTTCAAGCTGCTAATTACGTTGTCCACCTCTCACTAGATGCCTAGATAGGCTCATGTAACTTAACTGGGATAGGTTTTTCTAAAAAAAAGTGTCTAAAATTTATTGGAGTTGGTGTGTGAGTTGACTGATGATATGTCATAGCATTTGCAGCTTGTTACAGAATTTGCCTGTGCCCAGCAGAATGATTTAGGGTCAGTGAGTGATTTACAAGATTCATGACCTTTGTATGGAATTTAGAAATGGTGAATATGATACAGAGCTCACTTTTGCTTTGTTTTTTTTTCCCCATGAGACTGAGAAAATGGTAGAACAGCAAATGCTTATTGATCAGCTAAAAGAGAAATTAGAGAAGATTACAGATGTGAAAACTTTAGATATGTCAAATGCTTGTGAAGATGGGCCAGCATTTGCAAGGAGGCCCTACAGTGTCCCACTCACAAAAAATCTGCTACGCTCCCTTCACCCATCTTCAGGTACAGAGACCCAAAAGGTAAGGTCTACCCAAATGTTACATTTTTGCCCCTCTACTTTGTAATGGTTATGGGCCAATAATTAGACATGACATGACAGTGGTTTCTCAGATACTGCTTAGCTTCTCATTAAAGACTATGAAAAATTATTGTCTTGCAACACTTGCTATGCCACAATTATCCAAAATATTCAGCCTTAAAATTCCTACTTACAAGTGCTAAGGCTCTAATATTTTCTGGTGTTTTTCTGGGGGGTTTGAGGGTTCAAATACGAAACATTAACAAAAATGAATTATTATTTTTACCACTGTATTGAATATGTGGAATAACGAGTTTCTAACAGTGCCTTCTTTCACATTTGAAGCTCTTGCAAAACCATTTGTTACAAAGGTATTCAGAGTTATTAGAGAAAACCTCTAATTTTGCTTACAAACTCAGGTGATGTCAAAATTTTAAATTGAAATATTTTTTTAAAATATCAGTAAAGAATTGCTAAATTTTTGCAGCTGTTTTTACCCATCACTGTTTTTGTGTGCTTTCTGGCAGGTGTATACCAGCCCCTGTGCCTTCTCCCTGGACAGGATAATGGCAGAATTCCATGCTCGCAGACAGATGATACTGAGCAAGATAGAAGATCAGGATAAAGTCCTTCACTGCCACCTCTCTGGTCAGAGTGATGAAGAGGAAGAAAATACAGGCAGCAAAGAAAAAACCTCATTTAAGTAATTTTTTGTTGTTCTATAACTTTTGTTACAGACAAATGCTTAGGCATAAAGATAGAATTACTGCCTAATCCTGCCATGATATGAGACTATCTGTAATGTTACTTATGGTAAACTTGTGGGACCAACTGGGCATATTGCAGAATAAGTTTAATAAACATAGGTTTAACAAAGATTGCATAATCCTTGGTTTGGGGCCAGAATCTGCCATGAAGATTGGGGAGCGGGGTGGAGATGGTGTCTGTGGGTGGTGTGGAGCATAGATGGGAAAGAAGGTACAAATGCCATGGTAAGTTTGGGATTCTTTTCTGTTAGAATCATATAATTTGCATGAAGCAAATTATATCCCTGTGTATTTGCAGTTTAGCATGTTTATCATTCTTCCTTAGGCATTCCATAAACCAAACATGGACACAAAACCAGGCTTCTCTGTGCACTCTTCCTGATCTAAGTGACATGAAACGTCAAATAAACAAGTCTGGTTTATCCAACAAATTTGTGCTACAGATTGACACAGCCACAGGTAAAATGGAAGTCATAAGAGCAAATCTTATTACCGTATCAGCATATGCAAGAGTGTCTTTAGCACATGTAACTATTTTTCCCAGCAAAATGTATGTATTTGATACGAATATTTTTTTAGTTACAGCTCAATGTAGGCCTTCAAGATTCTATTCTTCTTTCCCTTTCTGAAACTGATGTCAGTAGCCTTAGTGTTTAAGTATTATTTGTTACCTAGAAAGCTAGTTAGATATAATCCTTAGTACTTCTTCAGTGAAACAAAATGGATTCTCTTATCTTACCAGAAATGCACTGAAATGTTTTCAGGAATATTTTTCCTCATACTTAGAACCTTGAAATGCAAGTGCATACATTTCTCTTCTTGTTTAGACACATAGCAGGGAAAAGACTCTTGGTGCTATTCTCTCCTTTTGATTATTTTACTTCATGTGGAAGCACTACACACAGACAGTGTTCCAGAGCACTACCTTTTGGGTACAGCATGTATTCCAGATTTTTTATCTCCATTTTGCTTTGTTTTTTTCAAGGTGAAAAGATTGACAGCCTCCAGAAAATTCATGTTTTTAACATGCAGAAGTTGAAGATTTCAGAGTTGAGATTCACTGAGGCTGAGAAAAAAATAAGAGAACTTGCACTTAATATCAGAAGGAAAGAGGAACTTATTAAGGAATTAGTAAGAACAGGTAACTGGCTACTATAGGGAAAATTGGAGTGAAGATATTCAGAAAAAAAAGAAAAGCCACAAAAAACCTGAAGTCCTGCATGTCTTAGTTTTTACATAGCTATCTTACACAAGAATACTTTTAACAATTTAGATTCATAACTTTTGCTGATTACTTGCTATAATTGCACTGAAGGCTGTAAATTTTTATTACAGCCTACTCTGCTATGATATGCAGATGTATTTGTTAAATATTTTTTGTACTTTGTTGATTATTGCTCTTATCCAACAATAATGTAATTTTTCATGTAAGCTCAGTGCTACTGATCTCTTCATGGACATGTATTTGTCATATGGTGTCTGGGATAGGAGAGAAGATACATCCCTGTATCTTCTGTGTTTTATCACAGTACAGAAACAGGAGTTGGAAGTGGATGAGGGAAAAGGTCAGTGTCCTTGTTAGCCTACATCCCTTACATATCTGTCCTGATACAGAAACTAGTCTTATGGTGACAGTAAGGATCTCTCTGCTCAGCTCCTTCAATCACACTCCTCTCCTATGCTTACCTTCTCTTGAGGTTGTCTTTTGGCACTGAGGAAGATTCTGTGTCCCACTGCCAATTGCCCAAACAGGACAAGTCACGAAGTAGAAACACTATCCAAGTTTTTTTCCTAATTATTAAGCTTAAAGCTGAGTAATAAATAAATGGCATATTATTCTGGGAAAAAACAAACAAACAAACAAACAAACATGTATGAAATACAGGGAGCCATTTTGGCAAACACTACAATAGGCAGAAGAAATTAACTTTGGCAGTCAGGTGGCATTTGGTAACATCAGGTGACTTGTGAAAAATTCATATATAAGACTCCTTCCTTTATGTCCATTTCAGAGTTACAAGGGAACTGCATGTTCCTTTAGTGTTGGAAATTGAATCAGAAATTACTGATTTAGCCAGAACAAAGTAAGTAATGATTCAACTACAAAATTATTACATTTCAACTGATTATCTTGTTGGTTTTAAACTATTTGAATATGCTGTCTTTAAGGTAAGGAGGCTCAGTCTGTAAGTAGGCAATATTCTTTGAAGATAACTAAACTGGAGCAAGAAACTGAACAGGCCAAAATGGAACTGGCTGAAATACAAAAGCAGCTTCAGGAGCTGGACAGTAAAGAGGTGAGAGACGTTCCTGAGAAAGTCAAGTTACAAAAAGAGTTCTGGAAGAAGATGGATGCAGCTAAGTTGAAAGTGCAGGTATTTCTGATCTGACCATTAGGGTTTGCAAATCTCTGTCTCCCTGTCATATCTGAACCTTAACACTCTGCTTGCAAAAATTCTCACCTGTTTCACACTTTAGAAGTTGGCTGGATTGAAGTAGCTAATGAGAAACTTAATACTATTATACTCAGAATGCTATGTAACATCTATATGGTTAGATACATACAATATTTTCTTGGTAGGTAAGAAGGCAAAAAAGAAGTGGGAGATATAGGATGTCCATATACCATTGTATGTAGTATCATAAAAGAACCTATACAAGGAGTCTATTACAAGTTTATTACCTGCCATGAAATCAATGTTTTATGAAAATACTATATAAATTCCAGCTTTAAGCAAATTCATGTGATAGTTTGCAAGGCCAGGCCCAGTACAGTCATATTTGTTTGACAGTGACCTTCTATTTTTAAGTTCTGCTACACCTAAGTTTAAATTCTGTGTAGGGCCAGCTTAAGTGCTCTGTGCCTCTTGATCCTAGAATGGTGGGTCAGAAAAGTTCCATGCAGAAAAAGGTAGTTGGCTTATTGGCTTGAGCTCAGAACCAGTGTTCTGTCACCGTTATGTCTCTGCACATTTTCTAGAGCTGTTAGATTTTACAACTTTCACTGTATTGCCGGGCATGAACTGTATTTTACCTTTTTTCTGCCTGTGCAACTTTACCAGATAGCTCAGAAACCACAGGAATATCAAGTGATTGTTTAGACAGAAGTTAGTAAGTCTTGCTGACTCTAAGAATTCAGTGAAATAAAGAATGAAGTTGAGTCTTAGCTATCAGTTTTCCTGGTATTAACTGAAATTTGACATGAATATTCAGGCCTTACAGAAGAAGCAGCAGGACACTAAGAATCTGGCTTCCTTATCTAACAAAAGTGAGAGAGAAGCAACAGAACTTGAGCAGAACGTGGCTCATATGAAGTATCAGCAATCCCAGACACAGAAAAGACTGTATGAGGAGAGTGAAAAAAAGAAGCAACTAGAAGCAGAACTTCAGGACCAGCAACAAATTAAGGTAGGATTTTTCCTGTTTCTTTATGACAAAGAATTAGATGCCCCTGCTTCCTCAAAGACAATAAACTATACCACCAGGGTTTCCATAATTTTCAGTAATGACTTAATAACTTTCTGGATAAATGCACTCAAGAAATCGTCCGTAAACATTTTCACATAAATCTTCAGTTTGCCTTTCTCTTTCAGCTTTTTTTTTCATTTTATTACATGATGTCTAGTTCTGAATTGCAATTTTACAGGTAAATTTAGGGTCAGTATTTCAGATTATATACTTGTGTGAACTCTGACATTAAATGCATTTGACTGACTGATGCAGGAAGAATGGTGCTTTTTGTTTGTTCATAGGAACTTCAACTTAAGATGGAGCAACAACAGAAGATCCTTGAACTGAAGGATAAAGAAATTGCTGCTTTCAAAAAGAAGAAAAATAACTCTGTGGGAACTCCACAGAAACTACAGGTCGTTAATCTATTCCAAATTTGTGTAAGCCCTGAAGTAAAAAAATCTTTTTTCATCCCTGGTCATATATCTTTGTGAACTGTTTGGAAAAGAGTGTTCCATCATAGTTTTGTTGTCTTTTTTGCTGTAGCAAAAAATGGCAATATAGTCTAGCAGCTCTTTTACTCTTTTTCAATGAAAGAAAGAAAGAAGGGCCTTTAAAGTTTTTTTCCCTACAGTTTCTCAAAAATGCTGATTCAGAGACCCAAGAGTTCAACAGGTTTGGTTTTCTAGTAGGTTTGGGGGTGATCTTATTGTGCAATGTTATAAATGTTCCATGGGTTGTTTGGGGATTTTATTTTGTTTGGTTTTCTACTCTGACATAAATTACTGTGGTCTCTGCTTTTGGTTGTTCATAACAGGGCTAGAAGAGTATGTATTCTATGCAGTGGTGCCACCTACATTATTTCAATGTGGACACTGAAACCTGAGTTACCTAAAGTCTTTCAAGGCGAAAAGAAGTTTTAAAAGTTAAATAAATGCAACTGTTAAGCCCTACCAGGAATATATCCACTGATAAACTGTGGCTTCAGAATAAATTTGTAATGGACTATGCTAGCTGGATCAGAGATGCCATTTACTGTCTTTAATTCTTTCAACATCACAATTTCTTGTCTCCTAATGTTTTTTCCACAAAGAGCCGTTCTTGGGCAACTATAACACAGTGATGATGGGCCAGCTGAATTCTCATGGTGCCTTCTAAACCTAGTTGCTGTGCTTGGGTAGATGACATCTATTTATATAACTGTTCTTAGAAAAATAATATCTTTCACTTAAATGCATCTGATACAAATTTGTTTATATGAGATGTAGGAATATAACATTGCTGAGCCCCTTGTTAAGTTAGTCCAGTTTCTGTATTATTTCTAGCCAAGATATTGTTGCAGAATTAAAGTTAACATTAGAAATGTCAATGTCTGCTACAGTTTTATCAGTAATTATAAAAAAGGTAAACATTATAATAAAATTCTGACCCAAAAAGTCCTGGCTAATGCTCTCTGGATCTGTATTGAAACTTTAGAAATTAGAAGAGCAAAAGAAGTGGTTGGATGAAGAAATTGAAAGAATTCTTCAACAACACCAACAGTTAGCAGAACTAGAAGAAGATTTAAAGAAAAGAGAAGCCATTGTAGCCAAAAAAGAAGCATTATTGCAAGAGAAAAGCCACCTGGAAATCAAGAAATTGAGATCCAGCCAGGTAATTTAAGAAAATTAAGGCTGACTGAAAGACTGGGCGTGGGGTGAGGGGGCAGGGAACACAGACAAGATAGCAGAGGAGGCTCAAGCCAAGTGTCTTTAAAGGTGATGTAGGTATTGGTTGGCTTGACCAATCAACATTTAAAATGTAAATAACTCAGACAATCATTTTTATTCACTTTTTCTCTCCAAAATTGCAAACCAAATCAAACAGTTCTGAACTGTGGAGTTCTGTTAATGCAGAGCCTTAACTAATATGATATCCATGATATCATATTATTTATGAATATGACTCAGTCCTTTTGCAAACTAGAGAACATGACAGGGAAATACCTTGCAATATTTGTTTTTCAGTAGCAAAAGTGAATTGAGCTTGAAGTATCATTGTCACTTATAATGACTAGTCCTTTTAGTATGTAGAAAACTACACCTTGAGTGTTTTTGTTTTCTTTCATCTTTTGTATATCTTACGGTAGCTGTCTGCACAAAATAAATGGGGTTCCATTGCAAGAAGCAAGCAATTTTTTCACTTCAGAATGTGACAGTCTCACCTACTTTCTTCTTACTCAAAGGGAGTATCTCAGTCTTATATCTGTGGTTGCTGTGGTTTTTTTTAGGCCTTAAACAAAGATAGTGTGAAATTGTCTACTCGCTTAAGTATGCTGGATCAGGAGCTGTGTGATAAAAGTATGCAGCTTCAGGGCAGCACCACTGAAGACAAGACAGACATTTTGGAAAAAATTCAGGTTCTGCACATGGAAAGGGATCAGCTGCTCAGAAAGAGAAATAGTGTGGATGAGAAACTGAGAGATGGTAAAGTGTTGTCAACTGAAGTAAGTAAGCACCTCTGAGAGATAAATATAGATTTTAGCTAGTGTTTGATAATAAGGCATTCCAATCAGAACCCAGAATGTCTCCAAATATTAGAAAAGCTAGAACTAAGGAACTGAGGTTGGGTATTTTTGTAAATAGCAATGTTAGAATACTGCTGTGATAGCACCAATTACATGATGGTGAACGAAGTTGAAGTTCAGAGGGACTTAATTCAGATAGTGCCTTGCCAAGTCTACTGGTCTAAGAATCATACAATGAGAATAAGGGAACTAGAAGTTCATCAGTTTATCATGGCAGATATTTTAATGTCATGACACAGAACAAGCAATATGCTCACGTAATGACATCCCCTGAATATTTTCATAGGATTTTGTGGAATAACAAACTTCACCTGAAGGACTCCGTATTTTTACAGCGAAAATAAGTCATATTACCTGGATGGCCCACACTTGAGTTGATTGAAATCATTATGTTGAAGATGTAATAAATCTGCAGTGCTTCAGGCCACACATTTCTACCACTTCCCTACACGAGTTTTGGTCACCAAACTCCTTACTGACCTGTAAAAACTAGCACAACCAAAAAAAAATAAAATAGGAGAAGTCAACTATTGTGAGGATGAGGAAAGGATAAAAAAGGAAGCATGACTTCTGGTTTTCATCTGATCAATCTCTGTATCGTGCTAGGAGTACTATGGCAGGAAAAGACAGATGTTCTAGATTTGCATTCTACCTCTTGTTTTTCCTGTTCCATTGTCTGTGCTACTGCTACTTCTTCTTACCCTTAAGTTTAGTTTTGCTCTTGAGAGTAAAGTTAAAGATGTCTTGATTAATTCTAAGCTTTTTTTCTTAAAAAAAGTTTTGCTCGTGTTTCTCTGTAGGAAGAACATGTCCTTTTCCAGCTAGAAGAAGGAATTGAAGCTCTAGAGGTTGCTATTGATTACAAGAATGAAAGTATTTATAATCGCCAGCACTTGCTTAGGTCATCTTCTCAGAGTCTTTCACAGAGTGAGAATAATGTAATAGGGAAACTAGTTTCCCTGTCTGCTGCTGAGCTCAGAGCTATTATCATCAATTATTTCAACAAGGTTTGTTTTGGCTAATGAATAATATTTTATTCCATTTTATATTACCGTTCTAGATAATGAAATGGTAACAAGAAGTAAAAATAAATTTAGGAAACTTTTGGTGAAAATCTCTTCAGGTTACATAGATCTACTGTTAATTCACGTATTTTAATTTTTATGTTAACCTAAGTAATATACTTGTGTGTTAACTTTGTATATCTTGTTTTGAGGTCATTGGCTTGAAAGGTGCTGCAAATATGGATATTTCCTTCACTCCTTCCAGTGCTCTGTTTTGCTAACTTTCAGAGCGGCAGCATATTTAAATAGTGGGGTTGTATTGAAATTCTTCCTGACTGGAGGCTTTCAAGAAAGCTTCATAAAGCTCAGGCTAATATTTCTACTTTTTTTTTTCTAAATTCAGTATGAACTAGTTTTGCATACACTGTCTGCAACTACATACTGAAGAATTACACTGATATCTGGAAACATAAAAATGAAATGCATTAGAATATGATGTGTCTTTCTGACTTTGGATGATTTTGTGAACAAGTTGTCTGCAGGATGCAAGTTGGAAGTTTTTCAGAATCACGAAACCACTGTTGTTTCAGTTTAAATTTTGCACAGAGTATTAAAAAATCCACTAGTCCATGTGATCAAAAGGTACACAGTTCAGTTCTAAAGTGTCAACTGGTAGCAATGGTAAGTCTGTTTCCAGAATAAGCTTAATGGCTTGTAGAGGTGATTGGTTTTGTATGTTTTAATCTATTACGCTGAAGGGTAAAAGGTTTTCTTAAAATGCTTTGTATTTCTTTCTTAGATTGTTGGCCTACGTGAGTCTGAACGAAAATTAAAACTGCAGATTGAAGAACAGGAAATGAAGGCTATGGACCGGGAAAACATAATACGCGAATTAGAATCAGCACTTGGACACATCAAGTTGCAGTGTGACAGGCAGCTCACCCTCCAGCGCAAAGAACACCAGAAAAAAATACAGTTGATATTGCATCATTTCAAAGGTATCTGCTGCTTGGAATGGATCGTACAGCAAGTATTGTCTTCAGTCACTACAGAGAAATACTGCATTCCAACTGAAAAAATAAAAGAATAAGGTTCAGAGATATATTTTGGCTGTCACTAATTCCGATGTCATGTAGGATGCCAAGGAACAGACACATAGTGTCTGCATGAGAGGAAAATTGAATCTTTTTTAAAGAAGTATCAGAATTGTTGTATTTTCCTACTGAATTTACTGATATTGGAAAGTTGAAATATACTGCTCCTGCTGATCTTGATCTTCTAAATACTATTAAAACTGACAAGCAGGGTTGACATGGCCTTTTTGATCCTGTGTCATGCTAGTTAAAATGTGCACATTGCAAGCAAAGTGCCATCAAGATACAAGACATACTCTGTCTAGCTGGGCATCTTGATTTCTGACATTTGGTTCTTAAACTAGTTTTATTTCTTCTAGAACAAGAGAGTGAAGGTATTGCAGAAATCTTGAAAGGGTATGAAGTAAAAGTCCAGCAACTGGAAAAGGAATTATTTTTCTATAAGAAAACCAGCAGAGAGCTGAAGAAGAAATTGAAGGGCGTCTTTGGAGAGACATCCCATCAAATATTGTCAGCCAGTAAATGTGAGCTTATTATCTGAAACTGTTTATGCAATTGTCATTAGACCATTTGAAGAGGGTGAACATACAGAAGTATATCAGATAGCTGTAAGTGTCATATTTTTACTGAACTAACTGTTCTTCAGGAATATATTTCACCTCTCAGTTTCAAGGGAGAGACAACATTGATTTATAGCTGTAGCAGTGGTATAACAGTGGTTTAAATTTTTGTTCTGTTTTCCCTGGATTCTAATATAATTTCAGCATCTACAATCTCAAATTATTATGGTTAACACAAAGGAATTTTGTTATCTGAAAGGGTCTGCATGGTATTAAACTAACAGCTTTGTTATATGTCATGCACTTGATTTCTTAAAAGTTACTGTGAGATTGCCAATGAAAAATTCCATGCTTTTAGTTACTAACTAGTTACTTACATAGTAAGGCTGAAAGAGAGGATTTACACACTTGTAGGAAAAAAGTGCTTTCTAATGGGATTCTGTGCTTTGACATAGAAAATCCTCAACCAACTCAAAAACCCAAAAAACACCAACAACTAACAGTTGCTATAAGTTTTTAATTGTTCTGTGTCCTACTTGCCAGAATCCAAACCTACAACAGAGCTCTTCACATGGAGGAGAAAAGAAGGTTCAATTTCATCGCTATTTCGGTTGCATTGTACCTCTTGATGACACCACAATACCTAACATGCACAATACAGCCTTCTTGGCCCCATGTTTCTCTTTGAGGCTCAGCAAGACTGGTTCTTCCTCCAGTGGATGCTTCTGTTTCTTTCCACTCTGACAATGCTGTGCGTTCTACAAAGAGATGCCAACTACTTCCCTGCTACTCCCAGAGTGAAGTAAGGCTTGGCTCTTGCCCTCTGGGCAGGATAATGAGCCAACACATTGATTACCATAAAGTACACCATCAAACTGTGAACATGAATATTCCAGAGACTGTGGGAAAGACTATTCTGTGCCTAGTATACAAAGAAGCATGTAGTTCAGGACAATGTATCCATGTCCTGAATATTCATAGGGAAACACCTATCCTAGGCAAATTGTAGCAATGGAAAGAAGGGAGAAGATGCCTGTGAATTTCCACATTTTTCAAATGCATATACTTGCAAGTTTTATAAGAAATACTCTGCATTTAGTTATTTTTCTTTTTAATACATTGTGAGGCATGTTGCTATATAATGTAATAAAAACACTTTATAATTTGTTACTGAGCTTTAGAAATAATAAAATCTCTTTGTGTATATTGCAGTCAAATTTGCAGAATGTGTTTTGTGTGTCATACTAGTATAATTGCTGACTATTTTCCAATGTATGAATAATTTCATTTTTGTCATGGTTCAGTTGTTTCAAGCCTGCCTACTAGGATACATTACCAGTTAGTATGGTGAGGCTTTTATTAACAGCACCTTCTCAGATGAGAGTAATGGGTAATACCTCTGACGTTTTTGTAGATGGCGAACTCTTTGAACAGAAAGGACAAAATGTGAGGTGCTGATAATTTCTTACCATGTTCATCTACAAGTTACTGATGCTGTAAACCCATATTGACTACCTATGGGAGGCACTCAGAAGAGTTGTAACTGCTTCCGAAGATTTCAAGTGAAAACACCTATTAAAGTTCATATATCTATTAACTACAAGTAAAAGTACTTCTTTGAAGCATCAGAAAGCTCCCAATCTGTCAACCTGCTCAGTGTACTTTAAGCAATGAACAAAAATAGTAATAAACTAATTTAAAATAATTCTGTGCTTCTTTACTGGATTTTGTTACAATGACAATTCCTCATTGAAATTTTTTGGGGTTTTGCTTTAGATACTGTCTAATAATAATAATGGCCAGTCTTCGCGAACGAAGATTTTGGGAAAGGTCTTTTACCTTTCCAGCCTGCGCAATGGATTTTTTAGGTGAGACACAGCCTGCGCTGAACTGAGCCCACCCTTTAATCCTAAGGTTCATCTGCCGGGGCCAAGCAAGCTTGGACAATGGCAGTGAGGTCCTCAGGACGTAGGTTTGTTTAGAGTGACCTTCTCATAGATGGATGGCCTCACAGGGCTAACGGGCTCCATCTGCCCGGGGGACTGGGATTCGAACCTGGGTCGCAGCGGTGAGAGATACTGTTAATAATGTTAGATACTGTCTAGACACTGCTATAATGGACTGAAAATAGGGAGAGAGACACTTTCTCTAGCTAGTCTGGTATATAGGAATACCATGTAACTATTAACAAACAAACCTTTTTTTTTTAGCATATGGTGAATCTGATTTCCAATTTCAGCTATATGTAATAGGAGAAGATACAACAAAATACAGGACTCCGTTCTTGTTACACTGCAGCTTTAAAAGAACTTCTCTTAAACGTGACAAAATATTGATTTTTTAACCACTTCAACATTGGACTGAATCTACAAAAACTCCTAGCAATGTGTAGCTCATAAATGCAAGGAAAGATGAGTAGAATTTTAAAATAAATAGGTTGGAGATAGGTAGTTGGTAACAACAGTTTGTGGGTGCCCCATCCCTGGAAGTATTCAAGGTCAGGTTGAACAGGGCTTTGAGCAACCTAACCTAGTGAAAGATGTCCCTGCCCATGGCAGGGGGGTAGACTTACATGTTGAAAAGTCCCTTCTGACCCAAACTATTCTATGATTCTAAGATTCTATTATCTGTGTCCTGTTCATACCTACATGAGTTTCAGCTGCAAAATGTAGGCACTGACATGTACAAATACCATGGCTAAAGATCTTCCCTACCTGTTAGATTTGGAAAGTGCCCTATATTGTTCTTCAGAGCTTGCCTAGTAATAAACAATTCCTTTGTGCTAAAAAGACTAAGCTCAAATGTTTCTTTTGTCCCATGTTAACTGTGAATGCAATATGCTATAGAAATGCAGAATTGTTTGTGTAGCACTGAATGCAGTGTTAAATCCTGGAATCTTACTTATTTGGGAATAGTTCTTGAAGTGGAACACTTCAGAAATACAAGTAGGAGCTGGCTGACTAGAGACAGATTAGAAAATCTCTGACCCAGGGAACAAGCAGAGAACACAGAAGTTGGAGGGAAGGAACCAGAGAAGAGACTAAGGGAGAAACAAAGCAAAATACCTGTATGTCTAAAACCTACCTTTATGTTGTTGTTGTTTGTTTGTTTGTTTTCTGGCCAACTCTTTGAAAATAATTTGCAAATACCACATCTTCAGGATGGTACTAAGACCACTTTTCAGAACTGCAAACCCTGTAACCACACAGCATAGAGTGTGCATAATCTTATCCTGACAGACAGAACACTACTGGGTGAAATGAAGTAATCTGTTTTGTTACAAGTCTGATTCAAACTAAAACCCCTTTATTTGGGGAGGTGTGTTTTCATTATCTGCTGTCCCACAGGAAATATTTACCAAGAGTTACAAGACCAAGACTTTTTTCTAATGAAATCATTGGTGCCCATAACTTTGAGATGTGACTTCTTTTCCAACATATTTGTATTTGTAAGCAATTTTGCATTAGGAAATCCAGAATATCTATCTTTTCCCAAAATCTAATCAATCTGTTTCAAGATATCATTAAATTGCTAGATATTTAGAGAGAATAATTTGATGAATTGCTTCAGTTAGAATCGAAAATCCAAAGGACTTCTGCTGCAGCAGAATTCAATGCCTTGTAGCATTGCAACTAATGTGGGAAAGGAAAAAGTGTGACCAAAGAAAGGCTTAGTACTTAAATAGGCCTGGAATAATTTTTGTGTGAAACAAACAAAAGCTCTAGAACAGGCAAAACCTGGAATTCCCTTCAGCCAGCCTTTGGTATTCCTATTTTTAAGTCTTAGCAGGTCTTACATTCCTTTACTAAAAATGTTAGCGGGTTGGAGCCTACCATGCTGTATTACACTTTTTTTAGTACCAGCTGAACAAATCTACTGAGAACTTCCAAGAGGTCTGCTCTACCTCAAGAGCAGACCAAACCAGAAAATCATCTGATGATTCAGGCTACTATTTAAGCAAAAAAGGACATTTGAGTCTAGAATTCAAGGCCACACATGTATTTCAAAACAAAACAGTAATAGACACCTTGAATTTCCTGAGAAGCAAGCATATTTGGGAAGAATACCTGACTTGGTGATATGAAGTTTAATTTGTGATTGAGGTTTTTTGGTGCAAGTTTGAGGAAAATCTGATTCCCAGCTATGGACCACTTCTGTACCAATACTTTTAAAGTAGTCAACGTTAAGTATTTATTACCCTTTGGCTTCTGCCAAATAACTTAAAAGCATCAGGTGTTGATTTATTTCATTCATGTATCTTCACAAACTGTGCCAAGTTAGTTTTCTTGAGTCTTCCACCACCAAACCACTCCGTGTCATGACAGGTCCCTGTGACACCTCGTGCTGTTGTGTTACAGATCATGACTCCTGCAAACCACAGCTGCGCCGCAGGCACCAGCACTCCCAGCTCCTAGATGGGAAACTACTGCTGACCTTCCCTGTGGATTTACTAAAAATCCAAAGCACACGCCCCTTGCATCTGGCAATAAATGTTATGCTTCTCATGACTTGTGTCAGAGAGGGACTGTGCTGCCTGTGGGGTGGGAGGGCCTGGCACAGCAGGTGAAGGGCAGTTGCAAGTGGGTGGTTTGTGTTGCTCAACAAAATCACCAGCAAAGCTATTGGCAAAGGCAGATTTACAGAATCACAGAATATTCTGAGTTGGAAGGGATTCACAAAGATTATCCTTAGCCTTGCACAGGACCATCCCCAAGGGTCACACCATGTGCCCAAGAGTATCATCCAAACGCTTCTTGAACTCCATCAGGCTTGGTGCTGTGACCAGTTCCCTGGGAGACTGTTCCAGTGCCCAACCACTCTCTGGGTGAAGAACCTTTTCCTAATATCCAGGCTAAACCTCCCTGACACAATTTCAGGCAATTCCCTCAGGTTGTGTAAGAGTGAAAGTGTAATAAAGTTTGTTGGCAAGGCTCGTTCTACTACTTATTAGTACCACCTTAGCACCACGAAAAGTGTACCACTAAAGTAAGTTCCACACACTTTAACCACCTTAACTAGGTGGTTAAAGCACACAGATTGAGACTAAAATCTAAAATCACATAAAATTACAGAGCAGTTAGGGTTGGAAGTGACCTCTGGAGATAATCCAGTCCAACACCCCTGCCATGGCAGAGTCATGTAGAGCATAGGAATGCGTCCAGGTGGGTTTTGTATGTCTCCAGAGAGGGAAAATCCATTACTTCCCTGGGCAGCAGTTCCAGTGCTCTGCCACCCTAAATGGAAAGAAGTTCTTCCTCATGTTGAGGTGTAACTTCCTGTGTTTTAATTTATGGCCATTGCTCCTCATCCTGTCGCTGGGCATCACCAAAAAGACTCTGGCATCCTCTTGAGACCTGCCTTCGAGATATGTGCATGTATTGCTGACATTCCCTCTCTGCTCTTCTCCACACTAAACAGGCCCAGCTCCTGCAGTCTCTCCTCACAAGAGAGATGCTCCGGACTCCTGATCATCTTTGTGACCCCGCTGGACCCTCTCCAGTAGGTCCTTGTCTTTCCTGTACTGAGGACCCCAGAACGGGACCTAGCACTGTGCATGTGCCGCACAAGGCAGTGTCCGCGGAGGCGGGGATGGAAACGGCCAGGATGAGACATGGAAAGGCTGGAAAAGCGCCCGGGCCACGCCTGTCTCGTCACACGGCTCAGGCCCCGCCCCACCCTGGGGCGCGCGCACGCGCGGTGCCGGGGGCGCGCGGCACCTCCCCGTTCTAGTAACTTCCCCGTTGGACTGCGTCATCACGGCGCGCGACGGACGGGCCGTTTCCGGTGTGGGGGCTGCGGCGGGAGCGCTCCGCTGGAGCCGCCGGGAGTCGCCGGAAACCGCTGGGAACCTCGGCCAGGCCCTGCCGTGCC